TGGGCGGGGCTCCGCTTAGCTGATGTGTTTTGTACTTCGCGAGACCTTGCCCACCCATCCCACACTTGACCCGGTCTCTCCAGGCGGATCCCAGGAGCTAGGGAATTTCGTGTGACAGACAGACACCGTGACACACACACAGACAGACAGCGCATTATATATAGTAAAGACGTTTGGAGAACGCCCCTCCCACCGGAGGTGGGTCTACCGAATTGATCTGGCTTACCAATGCACACCTTTACCAACTTTTTAGGCTGTTTTGGTATAGTATCAAAATCTGGTCGTCAGTACACTCATTTCGATGCACGCCACGCCCACTGTGGGCGGGGCTCCGCTTAGCTGATGTGTGTTTTGTACTTCGCGAGACCTTGCCCACCCATCCCACACTTGACCCGGTCCTCCAGGCGGATCCCAGGAGCTAGGGAATTTCGTGACAGACAGACAGACACCGTGACGCCCACACAAACAGACAGGCATTAGCGCATTATATGTAGTAGGGATAATGGACTGTGAACAGTTGTTATCTGGCCACTCTCTACATGGCTGTGTTTGAAAACTCCAGCGTTCTGGTCACCTTTCTCGAGCCAACCCGGGTATTGCAGTCGTTTCGCTTCTTCATGCTTTTCCTGAGATCCAAGATGTCAGAACTTGTGGGGCGGCCACAACAAAGACTACTTTATTGGTCTTCTCTTTGTACACGGTAGGCCGCGGAGCGGTTGAAAATCCAAAGAAGCGCGATGCTCATCACCGACCGGCTGTGTGAGAGGTTAGGCACTCTGTTGAAGTTTAGGCGCACCATGAGATGCAGGCCGAACGGTAAGCCGTGGAATTTGGCATGGTCATTGACAAGAGGATAGAGGATTGAAAGGTCTGCCAATCTTGGAAGAAAAGCTATGAACACTCACAGAATTTGAGCTCAAATATTCGGTGCAATATTTATGGGTCACCCTGTATTTCGATGCTATAGATTAACTGCTTTGGTGAAACCATAGATCATGGATGCCACAGATTGGAGCCAAATCGCGGTATCGGTCAGAAGATCTTGAGAAAATACGTAACTCTCATCGCTTAACATTTTCGGAATGTACCCTATCAAGAAACGCTTTCCAACCTGTTCATATCGGAATCCACAACTGGTATCATGCGTAGCGTACTGCTTCACTGTTGGATACGTCCATCCTGCGAACGGAACAAAGTCGTTGAAATCCGGAGGACTCGGTAGAACTTCTCCAGTGTTTCCTTCGGATATGTAATACCTACAACGAAGACCAGTTGACAGATGGTTGCATTCTCGTTGAATCCAACGATACATACGGTACTCTTCATATTACCTTGAAAACTCAGGCGAAAAACGCGATCTCGCGTTTCTTTTCGTTTTTCATTATAACTCGGTCAATTAAGTTTTTCAGAATCTGAAGAACATTGAATTCGGCCTGTCGAGATCTATAAGAATGTGCTTTCAAGTTTCAGCAAAGCCCCATGTAAAATTGCGCCATGCACTCGAGTTTCATTTCGAGAAAAAACTGTATGTACGTGCTGTGCCTATAACCCCGCTTATGCAAATGCACGAATTGCTCTTTAGGGAAGTGAAGCGACCCGTGGTAGCGAAGGGCTAGCGAAATCGGTCAACAAAGGAGTAGCCCAAAAACGATGAAAAACCAAAGCTTTACTTGTGGGCAGTGATGCATATCAATCGAAAGCATTTTACACGGGTAATCTAACGGGGCACATTTCAGGTTTGTAGGTTCATCTGGAAGTGCAAAAAATCTGATCTACAAGGGCATGGCGAGAAGGGATGTTCAGCAGCCACAGCACGGCGGAAGCGGCGCCGCTCCTGCCCATCAAGTATGTCATCTTGTATCTACACACAAGTAAGGGTATAGGTGAAGGGTTTTCCCCGCTACCTCCTCAGATTTCGGAAAAACCTTCGCTCAAACATTGGAAAATTTCACCAGATAGGCTAACTGTCCAGCCGAGAATTGATCTATGATTTCCATTTGAACACGAGAGGAGGAGATGTTGAGCGCAGGGACTACGTGTTAAGTCATTTAACGCGCAAAATGGAATAGGGACCATGAAATCTGGAAAAAAGCAATCGATCCATTCACAATGCAATGGACGATGTTGAATACGTGGCGCGTTCTGGGGCAACTGCTGAGACCCATCTCTCTGAAGAACGATCATGATGCATAAGCGGGATTATATGCGCACCACATTCAAACAATTTTTTCTCGAGCTCATGGCGCAATCTGAAGTGGGGCTTTCCAAAAGTTGAAAGCACATTCTTATAGAACTCGACGAGCTGAACTCAGTGTTGTCCTTAGATTCTGAGAAACTTAACTTTGGACGAGTTATAATGAAAAAACTGAAAAAGTGCGAAATCCGTGAATTTTCGTCGCTATATGGCGAGTACCGTAAATGTGAGTGGATCGCTGTTCTAATTATCGAATTCGCGAATTTTCGGTGTTTCCAAGAAAAGCAGATATCAGAGGAGCAAAACTTTATTGGAAATTGTTGAAACTTTGTTTACTTCCAACCTCTGGTGGTCGCCTTCTGTGCAAAAATCTTCGCGTGCAGCCAACTGAAGAAATTTAGAACATCCTCGAGAAATTCAGTTTCTCCATTCGAAAACTCGCGAATAAGGTCTGATCAATTTTTGTCAGTAGTATCATTACTATGTATATAGTAGCGGTAGGAAGTTTAGGATCTCCACGCACAGCCAAAAACAACGAATATGCCTCATTTTAACAGGGTACCTATATAATTAAGCGTAGGAAAGCGTAGAAATGAAACAACAATTTCCCAAAACCTAATCGTAGTCAAAAAGTACGGTTGATCTGTTTACTTCTTCACAGGAATGTAGATTGCACCACATGTAAGCTTTTCCCTAAGGTGCACAACGCAATTAAAGCAAGACCCGGCCTCAAACTCACTCAATCAGCCGTTCCCGGTGGATGGAGGTTTGAGAGGTCGTGTCACCTTCTTCACCAAATAATCAAATCACTGAGACGCGGTGTTAAGAGCTTTCATCAAAACCCAAAAAAAACTATTGGAGTCCGCCCAACGTCCAATAACTTATCTACGTCGCAAGGTTGATCTGCAATGCCATCTCTACTCGGGCTTCTCTTATCGTCTCCGCGACTCCGCGATTTCTCATATCCGTGCTGCTCCTTAGGGGGAGTCACTGTGTGGAGCATTTTTTTAAGATTGGTTTCCTGCATGTGATAGAAGCTCATGCATGGAATATGAAACCGAGGTCATTTCCGCTGAGCGGTACCGAGAAGGCCAAGAAGTGGTGAAGAATAGTCTGAGGTTCGATTCTTCGTAACGGCAAAATTTTTGCATTTTAAGTTGGGGTATTCAAATTTGCTCAAAATAGCGCCTGTGCCAGTAGTAGGTGTAGGGTCATCATCTGGACATATAACTATACTCGCGAGAGCCATCTAATTGAGTGAAATAGTGTCTTAATCGAAATCTACCGTAGTGATAACCCATTGTGGCGGCAGATTCCGCAGTGAGGCGTATGCCGAGCCCAGCTTACGCTTCCACTTCGAGGTGCGAATCTGTTCTGCCGTGTGCTATGGCAAAGCTATGAATGTCCATTCTCCTCTGCGTCTCACAACATATATGACCAATGTCAGTTCAGCAGCAGATTGCGTTGTTTTTGACTATGTCGGAGCACAATTCTCGACTAAAGTCAGTACTTGCACGTTTTTTGATTATGAAGGCTCCCATCAACTCTCACATGACCTGAACGCTTCCTATATAGACTCTGTTGCATCGCCTAGACAAGAAGTGCTTAGTTTTTTCTGCTGTTCTTTGAAGTTTGCCTTTCATCTACCGACTTTCAGTCACATATCCGAGAGCAACCTCGATATCCAGTCTACGTCTACGAGTTGTTTTGAGTGGGCCATGATATGAACTTCAACATTACTTTGAAAAGCGATTAGTAACTGAGAGGTTTCCAGAACATTGGACGACTTAGCCCACGCGAGAGCGCTAGTGGCCTCTCAAGGACTCCGTGTATTGGCGCGTGATTCACAGAACGAAGTGTGGCTTCGGTCTCGCTTAGAGCTCGTAACTTGTGAAGGCGTGAAGAGATCGGAGCCTCGAGCGGCCATTCTCACGAATTCCAAAGAATGAATCACAGTGCTTCCTTGCGTAGTATAGGCACCGTCTTTTTTAGTCAGGGAACCCGCGTTTATCGTCAACGTGTCTCGGTCGTGCCTACGGACAGGACATTTTCGAATAGAAGCGCCTATTCGAGACGAGATTGCACCTACTGAGGCACAACATCTTTCCTTCTGTGGAGCGTTCTGGTTTTATACACGAAACTGTCGGTTTCTAGCCGTGATTCTTTGTATCTTTATACATAAATCTTGCCTTTCATTTCCAACATTCGTAATACCCTGTGGATATAAACTAAGAACAAACACACACAAAATAGCCAGAAAACGTAGACTCATGTCTATATGGTAATAGTGAATATTATAGAGATTAGAAAAAGAAGCAGCGAATTTGACTACTCCGCATTTTGGAATTCGAGTAAACATCGGACTTTTCTAGCTATGATTCTTGATTGTAGCAGCGCCCCATTGGCATTCACTACGCTTATTTTGTGTATAACGTATGAGTGTGAGAATGTGCGTTGTTTATGTCCCTTTGGTCCAGCTCAGAGTCACTGATACACAAAGAGAGTTTTCCACTATTTTGACGCGTTACAGTATGTTTTGATAACTATATAACATCCTACAGCGCTTTTTGCCTAGATGTGCTCGTTTTTAGTTCGTTGCGAAAAGGGCCTATTCGTCTCGCTACAAATTCCCAGCGCAACGCATTACGCGTACCGACGCCCTCTTTTCCGCAGCACACCCTAACTAACTACTCTCGTGCTTGCGAGTTTTTCAAACAAATTTCTGGCTATAGTGACTGTAGGAGGCTAAACATATGAAGCAGGTTGTTAGGGGTTGGGTGTTGCCGAATACGTCATTTTCTTGCATTATTCCACGTCGCTCGTGTTGCGCTTAGCCTCCGTCGTACGATGACCGCCGTAAGTATCACCAGCCAGACCATAACTAGTCTACAGCAACCTCGTCATTACTACTTTGTCAGAATGGTGGAAATGTACATACTTACGTTGGCTCGTTGAAGAGCTCGTTGAAGAAGGCTGTTAAGGAACTGGACATTGGATGAGTAGGATGAAGACCAGTCCTGACTACCCCAGTAAGGGGTTACCTAAAACATAATTTATTATGCCGTCCACGACCATTTTCATAGTTTGCTCCGATTACCTTTACCCACACGGATTTAACTGTAATGTTCGCGTCCAGAAGAGAGCTGTACATTTGTTCCAATTGTTGAGCGCCAGTTTTCTTTAAGTTGGCTCGAGGGAGCATGGCCACTTCAACGTGGAGTCCAACTAAAGAACAGGAATGGCTGGGGAAGCGAAGTATTTAGTAAGTTCTCATTACGTTTGCAAATCTAAATGCTTACTGGCAGTGGCTAACTGAATATCGGAAACGCCGTTGCCTAGGACTTTTCCATTGTAAGTTGCAGCGTCATAGACACTGCAAGACAAGAATTCACGAGTAAAATAGGTAATGGTAGCGATCACAACGGTGTTAGTGGCTGATTTCGGCCAAGCTAAGTGAAAATTTGACAAGTGTCACAATGTCAATGCTCATAAAGTTGAGAGCTTTAAAACGGAGGGATGAAGGACACATCAAAGGAAGCTGAGGAACAAGAGTTTGCAGGCTCTTTCTACAATTAGTTATCAAGCTGTACTGTGTCGTTGCTATAAGAGATCTTCATCGATCTTCTCAACATAAATTTTTTACTGTTCTTGTTCATAGCGCACAATAGCCTCAAAAGCATGGTCAGGATTAGGCGGTCAACGGAAAAATGACAACAGTGACGGCTGCAAAGCAATGGTGTGGCCAGGTGAAAAATTTTGGAATAAAGTTTCTCTAAAGTTTAAAACACTTAAACTACCATGTCTGACAAACTCGTGCGTCACGAAAGGCCGTGTAGCCCACATGTGAAGTGCAGTGCAGTGAAGTCCAGTTTTTCTAGCGAATGGATAGGCTCAACCAAGTCAATATTATCAAAAAGAATATTTTGGAATCGTTGTTACGTACGAAAACATTGCGTTTGGGTCGAGATGTACACCTTTAAATTTTAGGTGTACATCTCGACCCACCCACCCTACTGCTTTTCCTATTCTATTAGGTCGGTCCATAAGTCTTGCAACAAATTACATTTAATGCTAGAGAATTTTTGGGAGAACTCCTGAAAATCCGCAACATATTTCCTGACGTAGCATCAACCTTTGCAATTTCAGCCAACGGTCCAGCTCGTTGTCTGCTTACTTATTATGGATATTACACCGATTTCGCGAGAGGGCTCTCGGTGCCCTTAATTTTTACGAGTACTGCTTGGAATGTTCCGCAAGTCATGCTAGACCAAGGATTGGCCAGAAGATGGGCGAGGGCACGCTCTCAAACCACGGTGCAACGGCGCTTCACTCTGCTCAGCGTTGACTTTTTTTATTTGAAAATAACCCACACTCCAACCACCCTGTGACTGACAATCACGATGCTCTATCTGACGCTGTTGAAAAGGGATCTGAATAGAGTCGACAAGGAGACAGCACTGTGGCATCTCCAAAGACTTGTGAAGATCCGAAAATATAGAGTTTGGTCCCCACGTGCCTTGAGCCCGATTCAGCTCCAAACACGATCTGACACCGTTATGTTCAAGTCGACTTACTAGGGATTCTACGATTGACCATCCATCACATTTGCCGAAGATGAGGAGTGGGTACAGTTTACTAACAAATGAACAAGCGGCGGTAGTCCAGCTCAAACGCTTCGAGATAGTGCTATCTGCTAGTTATCCTATTATGAATTATTACATAATTACTGTTATGTTATGTAATAAATTATGAACTGGTTAACCCATTCAAATGGCTGTGGAATACAATATGTCGGGATGACAATAAGGAAACTTAAAGAAAGAATTGGAGAACACATTACAAATATTTTTACACACAAAATACACACACCTTTTTATAATCATTTTTATAAATGTGATAAAGGAGTTACTTGGTAAGCATTAGCTTAGTACTGCTAATTAGCATAAAGCTATTAATCACCAGTTTACTTGAAAAAGAAACTGTTCTGGATTAAACTTTTAATGACACCATATCCCTTCGGTTTAAACGACAACATCAAAGGTTACGGAAACATAACAAACGTGGATAATCCTCTTTTATATAAGGGAAACCATCCCTTCTTCTCATTAAAAATAACCAAAGAAAGAAATAACAGAGGAACAAGACGCCAAAGAAAGAACAAAGGGATAACATTCA